ATTCCCCATCTTCCGCTTGAATTTGCTTCGACATTCCAATCTTTATTTCGCTCTTTTATCGAGATGGGCAACCAAAAGACAGCAACCTAAACCGGCGCACGAAAGTGTATGGTTAATGGTTGTAACAACAACTGAACTGAATCGTTGTGTAAAAATAAATACGTTCAGACTTAGGCTTCTAGTGAAACAGCTCATTGTACTCACTACATTATAACAATAAAATCAACTAATTGTTGGTTCGTCGGCTCAATACTGTAAGGTTACCCAAGCAAAGCGGATGATTTTTCTTAGATTTCACAGACGGTGCATCCAACCAGCCAAGCTCTGATCGGTGTTTAAAAGCCCACGACTGGTTGCTTCTGTTGTCTGGTCTCAGAGATCTTATGTCCTTGAAATGGGATCGATACCTCCAGGATACTCAATACCCGATCTCCTAATGCCTAATTCAATTTTGTAATTTCAGCTATCGTTTTATCTCTAGCGGTCGATAATGACGTGTTTCCGTTCCCCGCCGTTGGTTGTTGTTTTGTGCTACCTGTCTGATCAACCACTGATGGACAGCTCAAGAGTGAAAAAGGTTACCATCACTGAGCTGTAAGATACATACTTGCATTTCAATGTTCATCCAGTTTTTTTGAACAGTTAAGTTGAGGTTTTTATGATCTTTGCAAAAGTAAATCCAAAGTTGCTTACTGTCGTCAGAGGAATCCGATAAGACACCACATGTCGAATCAGTCCTGGTACCATTACAGCTTTTTATATTCAGGGACCTTCGTTGTTATCATCATCATCAATCAACTTACCTTTACTCTTCCTACCCGCATTCCCGTCATACAGAAAGAGTACGACAGGAAATGGAAAGCTAAACGCGAATCCATGAAAAGACATCAATCGCTGGATGCGGAGCGCCGAAAGTTGAAAGAAAGTAAGGATAACCAATATAAAATGACAGTGCGTGGAACTCACAAATGCAATTCATTTAGTTTCTGCACAACTCAATCCCTTCCAGGTCTACCAATACCTGTTTCAAACACCAATTCCCTTGAATGACTGGAATTATCGATTTTACCTCTTGCACTGCGCGAAAATTGTATACGTGTTGGTTACAATCGCTCGTACGATGTTTCTCTTGCTGTGCTTGCCAAACAGAATGTTCTTCGGTTTAGGTTTTTAGCAGATTGCAGTGTTAGCCCTGGTGGGATTCAAACCCGTGCAAGGACGCCGACTATGCTTTTGTACCGCGCACGGTCTATCAGCTGAGCTACTAGGCTACATTGATAGCACTAATCTTTTCCCACCGGGTCTACTGAAATTTCCACAATGTTAATATGACATATCAGTCTGCCATAAGTCCTAACTTAAACAAGGAACTCCACCTTGGAAGCTCTTTTGGCGGATTCCGTTGAATTCTAAGGAAAACATGGCAGTCAACTTACGTGCTACCTGTTGGATTTCATATGCATCTGTAAGTTAGATGGATAATACAAATGTGACAAGTTCAGTGCTACCGGTTTGGCCTCGTAGCTCAGCTGGTGGAATGTATAAAAGCATGGGTGGCCTCCATGCGTGAATTTGAATGTTTTTTCCCTCATTTATCGACCATTACACGATTCGGATTCAGTCATTGATTTAGACTGACCGCTCTTTGGATTTCATCTCCTCACAGAAATCGAAGCCCATTCATTCCTTCATGCCTCTGTACTTTCAAACTAATTTTCAAGGTCATTGCTAACCGGTCCCAAAACTGCATATAGACAGATGAGTTGTCTATAATGAGAACGAACACCGGTCTCTCGCAGTGCAGCGGAGTGAACTTAGATGCGTGGCAGGATGTCCCTCGGCTCGTGTTCTCGCAGCTGGAGACGATACGTGGCTTTGCGGGCAACGAAGGACAGTGGGGAGTGGCGGTATAGAGGCGGGACACCGGGTAGCGAAGAAACATTGGCAGGCAGGGCTTCCGTGGGTCGGAGTTAAAGTTAAACCTACAAAGCAAAGCAAACGAAGCACCATGAACCACAAATGGCCAGTGAGATACAGGCACTCATGATCAAATATTACTGGCGCGGTTGACAAGCCTTAGGTGTCCACAACCTTTGCCTTTTGTGTCGATCCAAATACACAATCTCGCCTGAGGGCCTATCTTCCGTGTTCTCTCTGGTCCGGTTCGGGGATCGCACTACTCCCGCTGGGCGTTTCTTCCGGTTTTCATGTGGATTGCCCTAAGTGTCGCGGTCGGACGTATTCGTCAACTGTTCATTCGGCTACTGAGTCGTTACGGTTTCTGTTCGTGGTCAATCCTGTCACACGTATCGTATGGGTCACGGTTCAGGCTATTCCGGTCGTCTCGTCTATCCCAACGTTACTATATATTTGTTAAAATTATTCGCCAATCAATTTATAACACCTATTGCTGAAATGTTCATTACCTATTTTCTCACGAACGATCCCCGATTGTTGGAGGTCAACCCGGATCAGACAAATCCACAAGAAATAGTCGTCCAAGTATCTGCTCATCTGTGTTGCTGAAAGCGCTTAAAAATGTTACAGTGGAATTGATAGTTTTTTTGAATTTCCATGCATTTCGAGACTTGTGACAAATTTATTGACAGGATAGTACGTAATCAAGGGCACTGTCTACAACACGAAATCGTAAATGCCCTGTAGAATCCTCGAACTCGCTCCAAACATCAATTCCTTCCTGCGTGTACTTCTGCATACAAGAGCATTGTAATCCCATACCTTACTCGGCTATTGATTAATCGTAGGACAGTTGCCACCTACCTCAGGGAAAAATTCGTGCATTATGTTTTTTCGCATTTACTACAGTGTCAAAGTTATTTCCTATCATTTTTTTTGCTTTCCGCCATTTGTTTTATATTTTCACTGTACAAGTTCGTAGGTTGCCGAAAATTCACCCTTTGGGTGCGTAAAGAGTTTATTGATTTTGTTACCATTGTATAAGTGAATCGAGTTTCTCGTTCTCTACACCAACTTGTCACCAAATCCTAGGTAGTCGACGTCATTTCTTTCTTTCCCTATCGATCTGTTTGAATACAGAACTAGAAAAACAAGAAGCCAAAGCACGAGCGGAGAGAGAACGCCAGCGTCAGGCTTCCGCGACCAGTGCAATGGCCGATCACTTACGTCGTGAATGGCAACACCGAACGGAACAGATTGAATTGCAGGCCCGACTGGAACGAAAACGACAGAACGAAGAACAGTTAAAGCAAGCTGAGGAGTGGGAATCCAAGATGAGTCGTCTCTCTGATTGTCTTGTCCGGGTGAGTTTCTCTGGTAATTGCGGTCAAGGCCATTTTTGAATATTAGTGTGGCACTTGTGTTATCCACCGTAGCAAATATGCACAAGAGAATGAACCCTTTGGTTTACAGTCGCTACTAAACCAAGTGACTTTAGCTCGTTGAACAGAATTTAACAACGACTGTACGCTCGAAGGTGTACAACTCCACTGATCTTCAACCTATGATATCCTACAGGCCCAATGCAGCCCACTTTTGGAGCCAAGCGACTAGTCTCAAACACACGGAATCCGAATGGTAATGCAGCTGTTTATTTGGAGCTATTTATTTCTTGTGGTCGGGGTGGTTGTCTAGAGTTGCACCTGATCACCCGTCCCTTGCACCTCGCGAAATGCTCCCATACGACGAAGCGTCTCAAATAGTTCAGTTAGTTTAAACAACCATTAAGGATGCATTTCTGTGCGAGGCTTTTGGTTGCTGTCTTTTGGCTACCCATTTCGATGAACAGTAGGAGGAAACAAAGATGGCTGAAAGTAGGATCAAAGGGGAAATTGAGAAATTCAGGGGACTAATGATGCAGAGAAATCGAGATGCACGAACGCCACTGTTTGCGACACCCAGCCATATCACTCAGTGCCTCTAACCATTGGTTACGGCCATCGCGAGGTCTCCAACCAGGGA